GGGCGGGGGTGGAGGGTGGGCAGGCTGTCAAAGGCTGCAATGTTACAAATAGCTATGTTGCAAACTAAACTACATGTGGATGTGGTTTAGCTTGCAATATAGCAAACTCATTTAAATCATTAAATCTGAAAACTGTGCCCTCTGTTGGGTTGGCTCTAGCCAGTAAACAATGGGAGCTGACCTATCCTGATTCTCACCTCTTCACATGAATTTTTAGATAGTAACAGCCTCCCAAAACACATTCTTTGCCTTCTATTAACCAAGAATTTTCTCCCAGTCACCTCTCAAGCAGCTTTCCACTTTGCCATACGATAATTTCTTGTAGCACTCTTTATAGAGAGTGACCTTGAAAAGAACTGAATACAGAGCACTGCTTGCTTGATAGATAAAACAAGATGGTGAATGTATGTTATATTGATATATACATTGTGAATCCACTTCCAGGTGAAATTCTAGGCTCTGTTTACTATCTATACAACTCTAAATACCTGTTACCTCAGACCCTAAATATCCTTTAGGCCTCAGTAATATAACTGTTCTTGGCAGAAATGTTCTGTCCCTCTACAGTTTATTGTGCAGGCATAATGCAGAGGAAGATGCATTAGCTTGCAAGATCAGAACCTAAGCTATTACAGAAGTCAGCTGCTTGCTTCACCAGCTAATCCTATGGGAATGAAGATGGCACATCCTTCACTCTCCAACTACAAAGCATTAGATGATATCAAAGTAAAGAAAAAACAGCTGGAGATAGAGGATGTTGTTTACAAATGATCTTCAACTGGAACACTTTCTCAGACAATTGCTACAGAAATTTAGTATTAGAAGACATTTAGCAGGAAGGTGGGATGTCACTGTGAAGGACACATGTACACTGCATAGACACTAAAAAATGAACAAAGTCACCAGACAACGACAATAATTAATGGTATATATTAAAAGCAGCATGGATGAAAAAACCTTCGTTTGCTGCTGAATAGGCCTCATTAATGAAAACCTCCTTAAAGAAAATGAAGCTAGTGTTACATAACTGGTTTTGTTTTTTCCATGGAATATGTCTGGGTTTTGGGTTTTTGGGGGGGTTTTTTTAATTGTTTTTTTTTTTTATTCAAAAGGAAACAGAGAAATTAAAAGCCACAACAGTGGTGTACAGAAAGGAGGCTACTATTTAGGAAAGGTAAATGAGTCTTCTTAAAAAGTCCATGGACAGCATAAAAACACAGAGATGTCTCAGGCACAGAATGATAATGTGCCTTCAATCAATCCACAATTGATTTCACATTTAAACTTTCAACTGTCTCTGTAAAAAGCCTTTTGTTCGAGCTGGGAGAATCAGAATCTGCATTTAAATAGAGATGTTCTGAATGCATGGACATGGGAGTGTGTGTCAGCAATGCTGTGCTTTCAATGGAGGAAGAGAAGATGCCAGTGTTGAGGAGGATATCAATTCCTACTGCAGAGTTGTTTCATGGCTATATTAACTGGTAAAAAATAATGAGATATCCTCACAGAAGGAATTAACTTTTCACACGAAAGGACAGCAGGTTAGGTAATTTTATTGCCTTGCAATTCTAATAGCAGGACTGCTATCGACTAGTGACACAGCTAACTCTTCCTCTCTGTGCAATGCACAGACCCCAGGGAGAAGTTAACTTAACACTCCCTTCCCTCTGTACTCCTGGGACAACCATGGACAGTCATGCTGGTGCCAAAGAGATTACAAGTCTTGAGTTAAACAAACTACTTACAGATACTAGATAACCTTAACACCAGCTAAATTGTTTACTTCCTCCCATTTAACATCTCAAAATGAAATGAAATACAAAAAGCTCTCATTATTCCTTACTGTATATGGCTCACTTGTAACAGTCTATAGTGCATATTATGATGCAGCTTTAACTACCTAGGGGACATGTTTACTAATATCCTGAGAACTCTTTTATTCCATCTTCATTTAAAACTTTTACAAGGCCTCAAATGCCTCCCTTTTAGCTGCTGCTAGATGTTTCCTTTCATTTACCAAAAAAAAAAATCAATAAATTCAGACTTCTGTTCAAAACTATGTTCCATTAATGCATGTCAATTTATGACTAAGGATTGGACATGCTCTATGAGGGAAATCTGGGCTCTTCCAACTGCAGTGATCAGGATTGTCTTTCTGGCACCATGATCCATAAGCAAAGAACTACCTGCATCTATATTGTAGGATTTCAATGTATGTATCAGTATTCTGAGTTTTATTATCTATTAGGCATGAGCAAACATGCATTTGAACACTCCAAAGTTCACTCCAGTTTGGAGTTCTTCAAATTCAGTGTTTTTCAAGGCCATGTAACTCCAGTCGGGGGGGTGGAAGCAGGAATCCCTGAGTGCCTCTTGCCCTCTGGTCTCCAGAGTTTCCTGAAGACAGCTGAGCACACAGCAGAGCATTCACTGGCTGTCCACACACTCCCCCCTTGTTCCCATGATGGGGGGGAGCAAAGGAAGCGTGCAGTACAGTAGGATTTTAGAGGACTAACCAATCCCATCACATGATTTAGAGGACTAACCAATCACATCACACAGTTCTCAGGAAACAGTTCAAAATGAAGCACTTCAAAGATATTCCTCTTGTTAGAAGCATTTCAGCCTTTTTAAAGCAATTTTTCTGGCAGGGCATGTCTGTACACTGTGCATTGACTGTCTGGAGCACTACAAAGGTATTTGAGGGTGCTTTAGACAGTATATCTGTCCATGGCCCCACTTTGATAAATCAACTGCTCCTATTAGACCAAGTTAATTTTTATTAGGCCTGTGCAAAGCAGCTAGTGTTCGCTTCGGATTAGGCCGATCTGGGGGACAGTGATTTGATTCGATGATTCAAATCACTGTCCTGAATCAATTCAGTCGAATCTGATTTGGAGATTCGACTGCTGCCAAATCTCTGAATCACCCAGGCCCATACCCTGCCCCTCTCCCAGCCTGGCAACTGCTGCCCCAGCTCCTGGCACTTTGGGGAGAAAAAGCCCTGATTCACTGGGTGCTGCTGGGTGGGGGGCGGTAATCCCCACTGCCCCATGCATCATCAATCCCCCCCCCAGAATTTTCTCTGCCACCTGGGTGTGGCCCCAGGTCCCTCCTCCAGCCTGA